AGGAAAAGAGAGTTTTGAACCACAATCTTGTATTGAGTTAGCTGCTAACAGTAATCTTCCTTGTACTTGCTGCACGTCTCAAAGCACTTCACAGATAATTGCTGCTAAGTGAGGTGACTGTATATTTGTAGGCACAATACGCAAACAACACACTACATTTCATGTATGGCAGCCATGGGAATATAGAATGTATTGCATTACTGCATAATGTGAAACTGAAATTACATTGGAGTTACAAACAATTACAAAGCAATATGATATTGCTAGTTGAAGTATTTGGTTGCAGAATCTTACTACACGGGTTTCAATTGTAAAATTAGAACTAGGATGGTTGGAAGTGAGATAAGAAAACATTTATTCACAGAGGGGTCAGAAAATGCAGGATACGGTGCCCAGAAACGTTATTAAGACCATAAGACGTAGGAGCAGGCGTAGGCTATTCGGCCCCTCGAGCCTGCCACGCCATTTAATAATCATGTCTGATCGTCTAACCTAATTCCATTTACCCGCCCTATCCGCATATCCCTTACTCCCTCTACCTTTGGAAATCTATCAACTTCTGTCTTGAATATGTTGAAGGACTGAGCATCCACAGCCTTCTGGGGTAGAGAATTCCACAAATTCATTACCCTCTGAGTGAAGAAATGTTTCTTCAACTCAGTTCGAAAAGGCTTACCATTGGGAATTTTTTAAATGGAGATAAAGGGAGGCTTGGTGAATAAGAGGCAAAAGGTGGGGGAAATGGGATTAAAAGTTCTGCCATGATCTATTCCAATAAACTGTCGGAACTGGCTTGATAGGCTCCACTCAATTGAAGATTTTCAATCTACAAAGAACTTACTTAAGAAAAGACAGAGGTAACATTTCATCAGACTTCTACTTAGAATAAAATGCCAATGAAGAATCCTCTAGATAAAATGGCTATTCACTTCACGTGATCTGTTTGCAGGATCTTTCTTTGTGCACATTGGCCACTGTGTTTGCCAACAAGTACACAGTGACTACACTCAGGGCATTATAACAAAAACAAATTACATTTGTTTAGCGCCTTTCATGTCAGGAGGACATTCCGTATAAAAATACAAGGATGATTATTATTAGAAGCCAATTTAGCATAAACAGGGATGAATGCTGGCAGCTTGCCTGATGGTTATGATTCAATGTCATGCTGGTCATCAGCACAGCACCTAGCCAGGCGTGAAAACTGGCCGTTCCCATAACATCAAGAATTTTTCAAGTCTCTGTCACATTTCAGAGAATATTAATGCCTTCAACCTGTCCGCTCCTTCTGCTCAGCAGGTTCCGGCCTGCTCCACGTCTCCTGCCCAGCCCACTCCACCATTTGCGGTCAGGTCTTCAGCCTGTCTGCCCCCACCCTATGGAACTCCATCTCACATTCTCTTTGTCTCGCTCCCTCCCTTGCCTCCTTCAAGATGCATCTCAAAAGTACTCCTCTTCGACCGAGCCTTTGGCCACGCTCCTACCCTCCCTAGCCTCCACCTTCCCCCGGCTTGGGTGCAAATTCCTGATTTCCAGCACCTTGAGGCGTCCCCCTGATGTGATTTGTATTGTATTCTTGTAGGACAAAATCAAGAAATTTCAAAGATTTAATGTTTCAAATTGCTTCTTTGATCTATTAAAAAAAATGCGGTAAACTTACTATTTTTTTTATTCCTATTCCTTAAAAAAATCTTCAAGTGTCACTTTAGGCATTTGCCTCCTTCGCAAAACTTCCCACCATGTTCAGATTTCCACTCTGTCTCCAATGAAGCATTTAAAACATTATGTGAAAGGCACTAAAAGTGCAACTTGTTCATTTTGATAGGAGCAATCTGCTTCTGCATTGACATGAAAAGCTCACGGTCAATTCACTTTCACTGCTTTGTATCTACAACAGCAATAAAAATGATCACAATAATCATCTTTACATGTGCTGTAGTTTCTAACATCAAAATGTTTCACAGATAATTGGATTGTTGAGTGGAGTGACTACATTTGTAGACAAGAAGATTAGCTAACTAGGGCACAGAAAATCCCCACAAACCACCATGATCACTTAAAACACAGGAAGACACTCCCTTCCGTTTTCAAGTCTCATAGTGTTTTTGAGACAATCTCGCTCTGCCACGACTGATTTTCACCTCTGTTGAAGTGCCTGCCCTGACATCTCTGCATCAGTGTGAACATGCACATTCAGTTGTGTAAACTCCTATCAGCTTACATGCCTGTTGGCTCAGTTCAGAACACTTTGCAAGTCAAATTGTTTTGAGTTAAACCAGTTGGATCACTGAAGAGGAGGGGGAGGGGATGGGAACGCTGTGTTCTGCTGAGTTTGGCAAAAAGCCATCAATGGCCACTCATCCCCAGATCTGGGCTTAGATCCTCTTCAGAACATTTCACTTATGCTTTGGTGGGTGGAATATGAAAACAAAACTTAAGACATCAGCACTGAGTTTCAAAATACAGTATTCATTTGCAAAGCACTAATGCACAATCTTAATATATTCATGTAAACAGTGATATCAAGATTCCTTGAGCAGGGGTTATAATAATAATAATAATCCTTGCATTTGATATAGCGCTTTTCACGTCGGGAGGACGTCCCAAAGCGCTTCACAGAACATACTGTAAAGTGAATTGACTGTATATTTGTGGGCGAACGCGGCAGCCAATTGCGCACAGCAATGTCCCACAAACAGTCGTAGATTGAAAATGACCAATTTATTATTGTTTTTGGTTTTGGAGGATTATTATTAGGCTCTGTGTGGAGTAAGGAAACTTGCCCAAGGTTTCGCCCTCCGCCTGGAATTGAACTCAGGTCTCTCACTTGCAAAGCGAGTGCTCTAACCACTGAGCTACAGGACTCCACAGTTGAAGGAATGAAGGAACCCAAATGGCAACCCCGTCATATATTATCTCTTCCTTCTCTCCAACCCCTCTATTAATAACCATTTCCATGCAATGAACACAAAACGACTAGACTCCACTTTAGAATCAACAATAACATCCCAGGAGGCCATTCTGCCCATTGTCCCATTAACTTGCTCACTCACCCATCAGTTGACAGCATTCTAGCTGCCCAGTCAGAAGGTTATGGGTTCAAGCCCCATGTTGGCACTTTGAGCTTAGAATCTCGCCTGACACCCCCAATTCACTATCAAAACACAAAAAAATGCAGATGCTGCAATCTGAAACAAATCTGGAATCTTGAAACAAAAACAGAGAGATGTGGGAAAACTCAGCAGATCAGGCAGCATCTATGGAGAAAGGAAAGTGAGTCAACGTTTCGGGTCTGACAAAGGGGTCGTGGACCCGAAATGTTGACTCATTTTCCGTTCTCCATAGATGCTGCCTGATCAGCTGAGTTTTCCTAGCTCTCTCTGTTTTTGTTTCAAGACCCCCAATTCACTGCTGGGGGAGCGTTGCATTGTTGAAGTTGCTATTAATGGAATGAGAGATTAAACCATGGTCCCAAACATTCAGGTGGACATTAAAGACCGCACAACACTATTCAATATAATAATAATCCTTGCATTTGATATAGTGCCTTTCACATCTTCAAGACGTTTCAAAGCGCTTCACAGAATATACTGTAAAGTGAATTGACTGTATATTTTGTGGGCGAAACGCAGCAGCCAATTGTGCACAGCAGTGTCCCACAAACAGACGTGGATTGAGTGATCAATTTTTTAACATTTTATTACCCCAAGAAAAGTGATCTACCAATCTGGTTCCTATCTATCTATCTATCTATCTATCTATCTATCTATCTATCTATCTATCTATCTATCTATCTATCTATCTATCTATCTATCTATCTATCTATCTATCTATCTATCTATCTATCTATCTATCTATCTATCTATCTATCTATCTATCTATCTATCTATCTATCTATCTATCTATCTATCTATCTATCTATCTATCTATCTATCTATCTATCTATCTATCTATCTATCTATCTATCTATCTATCTATCTATCTATCTATCTATCTATCTATCTATCTATCTATCTATCTATCTATCTATCTATCTATCTATCTATCTATCTATCTATCTATCTATCTATCTATCTATCTATCTATCTATCTATCTATCTATCTATCTATCTATCTATCTATCTATCTATCAAGTAATAGATAAACAGAGATGTATGGAGTAAGGAAAGTTGCCTAATATTTTGTCCTATCCAGAAATCGACACAGGTCCTCTCGCCTGCAAGGTGAGTGCTCTAACCTATATGCTACAGGACTCCACAAAAATAAAAGTGTATACAGAATACCTGTTACATTCACCTACAAATTTGCAGTCACTACAGTTACAGAAAACCTATAAAGCACTTTGAGACGTCAATGTAATAAGGCGATAGATCAAATACAATAAACAAATAACAATTCAGCCATGCATGTGGTAGTTCACCTTTCACATTAGGAGGAAGTCTCAAAGCACTTCAGTGACCAAATTATTATTTTTTAAGGGATTATTACCCCCAGAAAAGCGATCTGCCAATTGACTAACAACCAGGTTCCAACTTACTGCTAAGTAAACAGAGGCGTGTTGAGTAAGGAAACTTGTGGAGTCCTGTGGCTCAGTGGTTAGAGCACTCGCTTTGCAAGCGAGAGTCCTGAGTTCAATTCCCGGCAGGGGGCTAAACCTTGGGCAAGTTTCCTTATTCCACACAGAGCCTAATAATAATCCTCCAAAACAAAAAACAATAATTGGTCATTTTCAATCTACGACTGTTTGTGGGACATTGCTGTGCGCAATTAGCTGCCGCGTTTGCCCACAAATATAGAGTCAATTCACTTTACAGTGTATTCTGTGAAGCACTTTGGGACGTCCTCCTGACGTGAAAAGCGCTATATCAAATGCAAGGATTATTATTATTATTATTATTGCCCAATCTTTTGCCCTGCCTGGGAATCATACCCAGGTCCTCTCACTTGCAAGGCGAGCGCACTAACCAATACGCTGCAGGACTCTATAAATATATCCTTACCTCCAGGATCTTTTCCAGAGCAGCTTGTGTCAGGCAGGGATGTGCCTTCAGGATGGCTAACTTTGTGATCTTGTATTGCTCCACAGCTTCTGTCCAGTTCGGTTCTTCCAAGACATGAAAGATTGCGGCCCCGATGGCCAGATAGAAGATAATAGCCGAAGTCAACAAGGGACCCCTGTCTACCATACTTTCTCACAGCTAGTCCCCCCCCCCTAACCTCCCCCACCACCCTCTCAATAAAAGTTCCTTCTCTGTCTACAAACTGTTCTGCAAAAATTTTCCCGTTTGAATTTGGGGCGCTCTTGCCACACATGCGCGCTGGTTGTGCCAAACAGCTTAACTTTGGTGCAAACTTTTTAATCTCGTTATATCTTATTTTTAAAACAATAAAACGCAGATGGCGGAGATCAGACACTGTCTACGTCTCAGAAACACCAACTTGCACACCAAGACCACCATCTGCAAAGTTCATTTCTTTTTAAACTTTACACTTTTTTCAAAAGAAAACGTGGCCAATAAATAAAGTGCAATGCGTTGCTCACTGTGCTCGCTGTCTGCATCCAGGGAAGGCTTTATTGTCGGAGGGGCTTTAGTCTTTGCTTTCCTTTCTCCTTGTTGTTCGCTTGCGATACTTTGCTTTGCCTGTCGACACGTGTGTGTCTGAGCCAAGAGCACAGAGCCGTTTAAATGTGGAGATACGTGGAGAAAGTTAGTTAATATTTGAAGTGGCAATGAGTGAGTTTGGGAGGTGGAGCTCTCCCGCCCCCTCTCTCCTCTCCCTGGTCTCTCTGTCTCCTTCCCACCACCACCACTCTCCCACTTCTCTCCCCCCTTCTCCCCCAACTCATATCAGCTCTCTACAAACGTGAGGCTATCTCCAGACACTGTGGACAAGGCAGCCCCCACCCGGGCTCCGGCTTACGTTTAATGTTGCGGGCGCTGTGAGGTGCGGGACTGTACAGAGCGCGTATCAGGGCTGTAAATGCTGCGTTTCTCCAGTGAATACACAAATGGTGAAGCTGGGAATGGAAATGGAAAGTGGACCCCAACCTGTGGTGGACAGGCAATGATCAAAGGATTTAAAACAATTTAAAATTTACAATTTAAAAACATAGTCACTTTAAATTTTAACCAATTGTGTGTATGTGGACTTTAGTTGAGGGCAATGTGTGTCCTCTCCATTCGAGCCATCAACCCTTCCAAATGTCCAGGTTCATGTATGAGGAATAGCCAGTTGGGAGTTCTGTTGAGTTGCCTGAAGTACTGTACCTCACTCACCCCGAGGCTCTGCTTTCCTGAGGCTCTGCTTTCAGGGCACTATTTGCAAACAACAGAGGCAAAGATGTTATTTGTCATCCCAGTACTTCCGTTGACGTAATGACAAAACAAATGAGTACACCTTCACGTCGAGAAGGATTGATCACTCTTCACAAACAGAGATTAAAATGTTACCAAACTCTTCCACTTGCCAAACCCTGTTGCCAAAACTCTATAGTTACTATTTTGAAAAGAAAAATAAGGCCAGGAAATATACATCAAATAAAAGACCTTAAAAAATATTGAAAAGCAGAAAGACCCAGAGCGTTAATACTCGAGGGTTGCAGTTCCATTAAGCAAACACAGCTACTGCAAAGGGGTTTGAACTGTACAATCTCTTTAGCACCAAAATATCAACACAGGGATATTATGGTTTGTGAGCATTAGTCTCTGGAAGATTTGCTTGTCCATCATCCAATAACATACAGTCACACACTTCACAGTAAAATCCTGTGTAGCGCTTTGAGATATCTTGATAACGTGATAAGGCATTATATCAAATGCAAGTTATTAAGTATTAATATTATTGTTACTTTCTGGTTTCAGATCAGTAAACTAACAGGATGTGTGTAACTACAAAGGCAAAATACGTTTCTCCACCCTAACTCATTGTGCTCTAGAACATTTTCCCAAAGGTATCTATCATTTGTCAATACAGACATAAAAGAGAGATCAAAGAAAGGACAAGTTGTGGCCAGTTTATGGTATCTAAACTGTAAATTGCAACGGTAATTGGGTAAGAACAATAGAATGTTAAAACAATAGGGACAGACCTACAGGAGCCTGCACTGCTTGCTTCCCATAACCTTCAATATTCATCTTTTTCAAACATCCATCTAATTCAGGATTATTTTTTATATGTGGGTCTCGGCCTCAAATGGGATTTCTAACAGAGAATTCTACAATTCAGCTACACTTTGGGTAAAGAAATGTTTTCTAACTTGTTTATGTTTGTGATTAATTTAAATGTGTGCTCTCTTGTTGCTGACCAATGGAAATAGCCTGTTCCTATCTGTTCTATCATAATCCTCTACAGCAGGAAGGAAGACCTTTCACTTAGTCACCCCTTAATTTTCTCAGCAACAGTGACACACTGTTTAAAACACGTTACAAAACCAAGGTAACTTCAGCAAAATTGTCTGGCTAGAACTCTTTGAGGCTTTGGTTCACAAGGTTGAGGATAGCTTTGTACTTCCAACCTACTTGACCCACCAGGTGAACAGGTCAATCATCACCATTATTATGGACATAGATGATTTTGTCTCAGTGGGTCTCCTTATGGTCATACCAACCCCAGTGAGACATTTTGCACGTACCTCCCCCAAGATAACTTTAGATATGGTATGCATTTTATTGATTATGAAAGATGAAAGACTGAATAGATTCACCAGGATTAAAACCCAGAACTTTCCAATCCCGAGTCTAGTGCTCAGCAGACTGAAAGGCAGATTCTGCTCTGAAGGCTCCTCAGCCCAACTACAATTCTGATCTGGCAACGTAACCAGAAAACCAATTTCTTTCTTTACCCTTTTTACTACTTCAATGGAGACACCATTGATGTAGTTACAGACTGATAGTTGGCTGCAGCTGTGCACATTTCATCATTCTTTGATTCCTGATTATGTTTCTTTTCATTTCAACATCTGAGTGAGTTCCAATACTATTCTCCCCAGAGTTCCAATTAAGATATCAATCTCAAGCTAAATTCAGTTTGTTTAGTGTTCACTAAACAGCTTACAGTGTATTGGATGTTGGTATTTCTGCAACCATTGGATAAGGAGCTTCCCATTCTGATACTGTAAATGTGGTTAACTGAGTGTTGAGACTGTCCCATTTCACCAGTCTGTCTATGTCCTCTTGCAGTCTGCTACTATCCTCCTCACTTCAAAAAGCGTACGAGATATTAGGCTTTATAAATAGAGACACAGAAGTTTTCAAAATTATGAGGGGATTCAATTGGGTGAACAAGGAGAAACTATTTCCACTGGCAGGTGGGTCGGTAACCCGAGGACACAGATTTAAAATAGTTTTTTCACACAGTGAGTTGTTCGGATCTGGAATGCATTGCCTGAAAGTGTGGTGGAAGCTGATTCGATAACAACTCTTAAGAGAGAAGTAGATAATTATTTGGGAAGGACAAGTTTGCGTGGCTATGGGGAGAGAGAGTGGGGGAGTGGGATTGATTTGGATACCTCTTTTCAAAGAGCCGGCACAGACACAATGGGGCAAATGGCCTCCTTCTGTGCTGTATAATTCTATGCTTCTATGAAAGTGGGGGGCAGCAAGGAGCAGACTGTTGACCAAATCATTTGATACTGGTCAAGAAAATGAGGCAACAGAGGTACAGATGGAGCAAATAGAAAACTGTTAGGTAGCTAAAGCAGCAGTGTCCACCAGTCACAACCCACCAAAGCCAGGGCAGATTGACTGACATGTTGTCTACATGAGCAGAAAACATTGATGAAGACTGCATAGTTTCAATAGACACCAACTCCCATCCTTCATCCATTCTAAATCCTCTCTGGTCTCTATAACTCAGTCATCTCAGCCTACTGACCCAACTATCAGTCCAGTTTCCTTTCAAACAATTGAGTCAGTATTTACTGTTCTGGATCTCAGATAAAGGTGAATTTAAGCAGTTTGCAAATTGATAATGGAAGTAAATTATCTCAGCAGGCACAAGTGGAAGCGCTAACCATTTGGGCTGAATGCCCCTGGGCTAGAGGCTGGAAGTCTCAATGCAGTTCCTGGTCGTGAGCTCTCTCCACTCTCCTGTTCTAGAAAGTGTACACATGTACAGACATCAACAGCTCAAAATTCCTCACCATCTCTGCTTTATTGAGGCTTCCAAATGAAGGCAGGATGGACTTTAAATTGAAATCCCATCTGCTTCTTTTCAGGTGGGTGTAACGGATCACACGAAACATTTTGAAGAAAGAAGGAAGTTTCTCCCACTGTCCTGGTTAACAATAGATTAGTAACTAACTTTATGGCTGTTGGTGAGTCTGTGTTGTGTGCAAAATGGCATTTGTGATAATAATAATAATAAACCTTGCATTTGATACAGTGTCTACAAAGTGAATTCACTGCATATTTTGTGGCAGAAACGCAGCAGCCAATTGCACACAGCAGTGTCCCTCAAACAGTCATGGATCGAGTGACAAAATTATTATTTTTTCTTTGAAGATATTATTACCCCCAAAAAAGCAATCCACCAATCGACCAACAACCGGGTTCCTACTTACTTCTAGGTAAACAGAGGCGTGTAGAGTAAGGAAACTTGCTCGTTTCACCCTGCCCGGGAATCTGACCCAGGTCCTCACTTGCGAGATGAGTGCTCTAACCACTAAACTACAGGACTCCAGAATAGTGATAGTAACTAGTTATCAATATGAAAAGGTGCTATAAAAATACAAATTCTCTCTATCTTTCTCTCCCTCACAGGAAAAGTTTCTTTGCTGATAAGCCGTCAAATGAGCTCCCAATATATTTCAATTTATAAAGAAACAATAAACAAAAGGCAAAATACTGTAGATGCTGGAAATAATAATAATAATAATCCTTGCATTTGATATAGCGCTTTTCACGTCTTCTCAATGTCTCAAAACGCTTCACAGAAGAGACTGTAAAGTGAATTGACCGTATATTTGTGGGCGAAACGCGGCAGCTAATTGCGCACAGCAGTGTCCCGCAAACAGTCATGGATTGAAAATGACCAATTTATTATTGTTTTTGTTTTGGAGGGATTATTATTAGGCTCTGTGTGGAGTAAGGAAACTTGCCCAAGGTTTCGCCCTGCCAGGAATTGAACCCAGGTGTCTCGCTTGCAAGGCGAGTGCTCTAACCACTGAGCTACAGGACTCCACATCTGAAAAATCTGAGTTCTGACGAAAGGTTTTCGAC